TTTAAGATATCTTTGATCTATTGTTCAAAGTGATGGTTAAATAGATTGAGATATTATTAATAGAATTCAAGTTGGATGATTGAAGTGGAGGAATGCATCAGGCTTGTTATGTGATAGAAAAATCCCTCTCAAACTTAAGGGAAAATTCTATAAGATCGTAGTGAGACTTGCAATCAATGCTTTATGGTGCAAAATGTTGGCCATTAAAAGAGAAACATAATATTAAGTTAAGTGTTGCAGAGATAAGGATGCTCAGTTAGATGAGTGGCTTTACTATTAAAGACAGGATATGAATTGAGCATATACGTGACAAGGTTGGAGTAGCTACAGTGGAATATAAGATTAGAGAGAGTCACCTTAGATGGTTTGGTCAGATAAAACGGCGGCCTTCCGATGACCCGGTTAGGAGTAGATGCATTAGATTTGCTTATGTTAAAAATGGTAGAGGTATGTCAAAAAGAATTGGTTAGAAAATATTTGAAATGATCATTCTTTATTAGATTTAGATGAGAATTTGACTCTTAACACGACACGCTAGAGAAAAATAATTCATGTAGCTGACCCCACATAGTGGAATAAAAGCTTCTTGTTGTTTCTAGACCTTGAAATATATAGCCAGTGTGAAACAAATTATATATATAATGAATGAGTTTCTAAATGCGCATAAGATTAGTAAAAAGCTTTGGAATATGAGGACGAATCTTTAGAACAAATAGTGGATTGATCTACATGTCTACTTACAATAATGAATAGTCAAGAAGATAACCATTCTAATCATCACTAGAGAGGGGAAAAAAATCTTCAATATAGCCCAGAGCTTGAATAATATTTGGTATCAAGAGGAATGAAGACATAATAGGCATAATCCTTACATAGAATCTATAAAGAGAAACTACATTCAAAAAAGAGACATTCTCCAGGACCAACTATCTGGAAAGAAAAAAACTAAATCATTAAGACTTCGTTTGGGATGACTTTCTTACTGCTTCTTAGAGTTTTCAGAAGCAATAAAAATGTTCTCCCAAACGAAGCCTAAGAATAGAAATACGAAGGCCTCCATTAGACTATGGGTTGCACATGTTCTTCCAGGAAATTAAATGTAACTTTTTAGTACTAGTCTTAGTGCACGTACACGTAAATAAAAATATAAAAAAAATGTTTATTATAAATATTTAAATTATTTTATTATTGTTAAAAATTAAAAAAAAAATTAGTAAATTTATCATTTTAAGTAATTATAATTATTAATTGTTGTAGCTATTAATTTTTTGAATTTATCTATATAGATGTAGTTAGTTTTATTGTAGTAAGGATATACTAATTTACACGTTCAATTATTTATTAAATAAATTATTACCTTTTAAATATTTAGGATCACATATATAATTTGTTTGGATGCAATAATTATTATATAAAAACAATATAGTGATGCCTGATGCATATGGATATTAACTCCTTCATCTTTGGTGTTAGAGATTTAAATATGAATTTAATCACTTAAATTAGTTTTAATTATTAATTTGTTTTAAATGTAATATAAATGATTGTTTGATAATTAGATAATTATTAATATAATAAATAATTTGATAATTAATACCTAAATAATTTAATGGCAATTATACAACTAATAACTATATCTTCTCTACTTTGTCATTGATGTTCGGCTTCATTGCTTCACAGTGTAGAGATTGCACGAATCACTTCTTCGGCTCCTTCATTGATGTTCGACTTCGCTCCTTCGATGATGTTCCCTTCATATTGGATCTAGAACCACACCTCCTTGCTATTCTCTATTGGATCGAAAGTAATCACGCTACAGGAGCTTGCTCTTGCTCGTTGCAAAGATAGCCATCTTTTTTTCTTTCGCATTCTTCTTTGGCGAAATCCAGTTAAATTCGTCGAACGGATGGGATTTAGATTTAGACGAATTTACTTAAGATTTATGACGTAAATTTATAAATCATGGATTTACACAGACGTCGGATTTACGCAACCGATACCAAACAGCCCCTTAGGGCATCTCCAACCAAACGTCAAACGAGCGTATGCCGTCCGTCCGTCGTTCCAACCGAACGTAAAAATTTTCGCCATTTACTTGCAGGTGAACAGTACGACGCTAATATTGGCGTCGCACTGTTCACCCACGCCATTTTACTCTCTCAACCGGTAAAACTCGCGAAAGGGAGAAGATCGTTAATTTTCAAAAAATACCTAAAATGACGTTCGATTGGAGCAGTATCACGCCATTTTGGAGATCTGCGCTATTTTGCCGTAAATTTTGGAGTTCTGCCCCTTAGGGTTTACCGAAACAGGTCAAAAATTAGGGATAAAAAACAGAGAGTTCCGTCTGCGGAGCAATGGGGCAAAATCTTTACTTGAAAAGCAAACTTTCTTTGGCACTTCGGCACTCGACTTCAGTGGCTCGAAGGATCTGTATGGACGAATTGAAGGAGATCACGCAGAAGGAGTCCGTCCCGACCAAAATGCCAGAATTTATTTCTGCGGTGAATCTGCATCTTTTAACCTTCCTTTCTATTTTCTCAATTTCCTCTTGCTTTTTTCTTTATGTTTTTGTTAATCCTTTACTCCTTTTCTAGATGAGGAACCATGCACGCTAAAAATTCATGGCCGGAGCGAATAGCCGGCTGAATCCCTCTAGAAACAGTAGAAATAAGATATTTCTGTTTGGGTGTTTGAGGAGGCGAAAATCAGCTCGGAGAGTCCCATTTGAAGTCCTGACCAAAAATGCCTCTTCCATGACAACGCAGTCGCTGGCCTTCCCATCCGAAGTAGCACTGCTGATTCTTCAGAAAAACAATGCAGGCTGGAATATTAGGGCTGTCGTAGACGTCTCGGGTCTTCTTCATTGCGAGCTATTGGCAGCCAGCGATGTGCCAAAGGTGGAGGTCGCTGAGGAGAAAAGGCCTCAGAGGCCCCGGAGAACGGTGATCTGTTGGTCGGAGAAATAATGGAACTCCCGCAGGTCCGTGGTCCTACGTTCATCCAGCCCTAAAGCCCAAAAATGAAGAACCTTTTCGAAGAGGGATGCAGGCCGTGCTGGAGCAGCTACAGTTCAAGTGACGAAGTGGCGGTGGAAGTGTGCGTTTCAGGTAAAGGTTTTGCGCAATTAAGAGCGGATGGAACACTTCTGTTTATGTATCCATAATTTGGATAGTGACTCGGTCAGCTGCTTGCTCCGGCAATGAATTCTTAGATGATTTAGTTTCCAACAAACTTGGAAATAGCATGCACGATGATGGTGGAAAGCTCGGAGCAGATACAGAAAGGTTGAGGAGGATTAAAAAGAAGAGAAAGAAGCACAGGCCCAAGGTGATTGAAATGGAGAAGACAGAAGATGCCAAGAAGCGGATTTTAATTCCTCATCAAAGACCCAAACAGAAATCTACAGGGAAGAAAAAGGGCATGGGATTGGAAGGAAGACTTTTGCAAAGAAGTTGTTTGGAAATTTAGAAGATGATGATGAATGGGAAGAAGCTGGTGATCAACTCATGCTTGCGTTAGCTGATGAGGCAATTAAGTATTCTTAGATAATCCAGTTCGATGAGGATGAATATGCTGCTGAAATGGATGTGCAGCCTTGTGAACAAAATTTGCTAGCATGATCTACTTATAGTACAAGAGATGTCAATATTATAATTGATGAGTTATTGCAAGAACTTGCTAAACTAAAGATAAAACTAAAGATAAAATCATCTCATCTGTACTACTTAAAGCAGAATTGCTACAACTTAATATTGAATTTCCGCAAATTGCCTTGAGTTACATTATTGATAATATTAGAATCTCTTATATTTTCTATTTTGTTAAGCAAGCGAGAATATATATAGACAGAAATAGGATTAAATCAGGCTATAAGTTCGGAAATGGTCTATTTTGTTAATCAAAGATATTTGATTTTTGTTTAACGTTGTGTTAAGCAATGTCAAAGGGTCCATATCATTCAACAAACAAAATATCTTCTTATGATGAGTTTTTCATGCGATGAATTCATTAACCAGAGTTCAACAAATGTTGAACAAGAATCAGATGTCTTTGCTTAACAAAATAGATTCTTTTCGAGCTTATAGCCTGTTTTAATTCTATTTCTATCTATATATCTTCTCGCTTGCTTAACAAAATGGAAAAAATAAGGGATTTTAATATTATCAATAATGTAACGTAAGACAACCAGCGAAAATTCAATATTAAGTTATAGCTATTCTGCTTTAAATAATAGAGATGAGATGACTTCATTTGCAGTTTAACAAGTTCTTGCAACAACTCATCAATTATGATGTTGACATCTCTTGAACTATAAGTAGATGATGCTTGCAAATTCTCTGAAATCATTCAACTTTCATAAGATTGCACATATATTTCAGCAGCAGATTCATCATCATCAAATTAGATTCTATAAGAATACTTAATTGCCTCATCAGCTGAAGTAGGCTTGCCTCATTAGCTCAACAATAGAGTGTAAGCCATCTGATTCTTGTTCAACATTTGTTGCACTCTCTGGTTTCACTGATAGGATAGTTAATTTGTTATCATCATTTGATTATATGATGGACTTTATCTTGTTAGTCAATTATGGTTATTATCATATTATCTTTATTCATGTTGCCTGTAATGTACCTTTTTTGTATTCGTGTTAATTGTTATAACTTTATGTTAAATACTAGTTCACCGTTGCTAACTACAATAAGTAGTGGTTCTAAGTTATGTAATAAGCATGGTTAAATTTTGAAGTATAGGTACTTATTTCTCTTTACTTGGGGTATAGCCTCCCTCCACCATAACAATCTTTCTTTTCTTCTCTAATTGATGTATCCTATCTCTCAAGTCCTTGCCTGTCAAGATCTTAATCTTTGTCTTGCATCCTAGTTTCTCTATCTACATCTCAATCCTCTTCTCTCAATTCTTAGCTATCTCATTCGATCTCTCTTGCATCCTCTCCATGTTGGTTGGTTACCTACCCCCTTCTTTTATTAACTCAGCAAAAACTTCTCTTATCCCTCAATAACCCCCTCCCCTACTTTCTTTTCATTACATTTTCTCCCTAGTCGATCCTCATTGCTTGCTCTCTCTATCAAAATCCCTCAAAACTTTCCTCTTTCTCTGTCTGCCTTTGAACTCTCTTTGAATATAATGAATCATTTTGTTAAGAAGCTTAATGAGTTTTTTACTTGGCCACATTTCCTAATACATCTCTGTTCAAAAAACTCTCAATATTACTCAATTTGCCACTCAACATAAGCCAATCAACCCAACAATCCCAATTTATGTGCCATGAAAGAAAAAAATAATACTATTTTAGGATTAAGCCCTCGATATTTAGCCAACGAACAAAAGAATCTTTTTTGCTTGTCATATTTTGGGAGGATCATTTCAAGCATTTACCTTTGTTGCTATGTTCTCAAAAGGTCCAAACTCAAATTAACTCACTTGTTATTTATATGAGCATAGGGGTGTCAACTTTCGACCCGACCCGAAACCCGACCAGGATCCGACCTGGAAAAATCCGGGTTTCGGGTTCGGATTTTTGACCCGTTTGAAAAACGGGTCGGGTTCGGGTTGACCCGACAACCCACGGGTCAACCCGAATTGACCCGTTTCGCGTCCGCGTCAGGTCCCGGGACCCGTTTCGCGTCGGCGGAGCAGCGGATCCCGCGTCCGCCGTCCAGCACTCAAGTCGGACCAGCCCGCACTCGGCAGTCGGCGTCAGGTCCCGCGACCCGCATCCGCGTCTAGCCTGACCTGCGTCCAGCCTGACCCACGTCCCGCGCTCCGCGTTAGCCTGACCGGCGTCCCGCACTCCCGCGCTTCGCGTCCAGGCGTCCCGCGAACTCGCGCGCGTTCAGCCCACAGCCCCGCACCAGCTCCGCCTAGCACCAGCCCCGCACTCGGGTCGGGTCGGGTCAACCTGACAACCCGAGCAGGTCGGGTCTGGGTTGAAATGTTCGACCCGTTTGCAAAAACGTGTCGGGTTCGGGTTGACCCGTTTAGATCCGGGTCAGCTCGGGTTACCCGAACCCGACCCGTCGACCCGAATTGACACCCCTATATGAGCATAGCAAGAAAAGAAGATTTGTAAATGTATCTTGCAAATATTTACTTCTATGATTTGTAATTATATTCTAGATTAGATATGCTCTATTGTGTAACTCCTTATATTTTTGAATAGAAGGTGCAATTGGTCAATGTTGCAAATTCTTGATTGTTGTAGTACTGATTCGAGAAACTATTTTCTCACTTGCATTATAGCTTTTACATGAAATCATCAAGTCCAGAGATTAATGTATCTTCATTATAAGCTTCATTTGGGACAATTTTATTACTAATTTCTTATTTATGAAGGTATTGTGATGTTATATGAATCATCTTAACTAGACATTATGCATATAATTAAAAGTATTAATGAAGATATTAGGCATTGGTACTATTCATCTTGCAATATTATTATGTTGAGTTGCTAAGACTTCAAATGTTCAGTGCTTTAGGTGAGATTTCTGTATATGTCAGTCTTCAAATTCTTAGAGATGGAAGAGAGTCAAAGGACATCCAATTTCACAACAAAAGTATTTGGCTTGTTAGGATTTGAGAGATTGATATATTGTATTTTCTTTTGATTATGAGGTTATTTGATTTGAAGTAAAGTGGGTATAGAGTATTTCTTTTACGGTGGTTTTGAAAATATTAATGTTTTATTGGATGAAAAAGGATTGCGATGTAAAGTAAACTAAATGCAACTTGAAGTATTCTAGTTTGTTTTTAAGATCACGTAAACTCGTCCATTTTTTAGCAAAAACCTTCTTCATTGAAATTAACTAACCTTTGTCGCAACCCACCATCTGGCGACCGTCGCCCCTCCCTGCCAACCACCATTGCTACTCGTCGTTGGCCATCGCCTAAGATTAGCCTCTGCCTGCTCCGACCATCACTGCTGCTATCGTTGGCCACTATTGCTGCCATCACTAGCCACCACCATCGTCGCCGACCTCTAGTGACCAACTATTGACCACCACCACCACTAATATTGATCACCAGTCATCACTTTTCTTTAAATTTTACATTATATTAATTTTACTTAAAAAAATAAATATCATGCATTCATTCAAACAATTTCAAAATATTTATTCAATTATTTTACATTACATTCTTTTTTAAGCCAACCTAACAACTCCGGTTAGAAAAAAAGCCTCACATTTGCAATGTAGATATAGGTCAAAAACATCAAATCACTTGAATTTTATCCTTTTTTTTTTCATCCATAATTTGCATTCATTTTAGATGCTCTATCCTACTTTTGAAGTATTTCTGTCCTTCATTTCTTCCTATTTTTCCTTGTTTAAGCTGCAATTAATTAATTAATAAAAAATAAATAAAATTAAAAAAAAAAGCCGCAATTAATTAGTTTCTGCTCATTTTATATCGCATATTTGAAGAACAATTTTGATTTCAAGGAAAAAAAATATATAGCTCGCAATAGTAACATTTCACATAACTCTTTGTCTTTGAAAATCAACTAGATTATGCATGAATTTCATGAATCTCGATGCATATTTGAATTATAAATTTTTTAAATTCAATCCAAGATCATCCAACCTCTGACCTACACAAACTTATCGTCAAACTTGAAGTCTCGACAAGACAAATTCATGGACTCCAAAACCGATCCAATTCGAGTCTAATGAGCTCATACAAAGTACTTGAAATTGCAATAGAAAATTTCAACACATTACTTAAAAGGTCAAATGATCTCGAATCTCTCATACTTATAGTCAAATCAAGCTTCTTTATAAAATGAATCTAATGCGCTCCAAATCATCTAATTCTGACATTATCAACGCACAAAATGTTGAAAAGAGACATTTTTAAATAATGAAATCAAAATGCGTTGTCTGATGTTATGTATCGGATTCTAACTAAATTTATAGGGCGTGCCTCTTAAAATTATGTAAATACTAAATACGCTCCCCTACTTTTAAATATATATTTATTTGTGATACGACATCGCAAAATTATCTTGATCGGGCATGAATCTCGAGGCAAAAGCTAGTTGGAAACTTCAAAAATTAATTTTGGAAGCACCCGAATTCCGATTTCAACAAACTTATAGTCAAATTGAGCGTCTCGGAAATACGAACCCAACGACACCAGGATCAACCCAATCCGAGCCCAAATGAGTCCGAATCAAGGGTTCAAAGCGCTGTCGGAAGGTTCAAACCGCAATTTGAGTTACCAAACGGTCTCCAATTTTATTTTTAAATATATATTTATTTTTCATACTACTTTCAAAAATTAAATGAGAAGAAACAAGACTCTAAAGACATAATCTATGAAAGAAATTAGAAGATCAATACACTTAAAAAATTATAAAAATAAATAAAATATTTTGTTTAAAAGATAATTTTAACTTTATTAGATTTAATCCAAAATTTAAGAAACATGAATTATATATGATTCCTAATAGTTGTTTGTGGTTAGATAATTTGGAAGAAATTTTAGTTAAAAATATTCTGATTTAATTATGGTTATAAATTATTTTATAATTATTAAATTTATTTTATAATTGATAATATAATATTATTAATTAATTAAAATTAAATATTACATTCATTTTAAAGTAAATTAATGGATATCAATTTACATTAATTATTAAAATTTAATTAAAATACTCATATCCAAATAATTTCCTAAATGATTGTACTATATTTTGTGTGAGATCTATTCTTAGATACTTAAATATATTTTTATATAAATAAATAAAATTTAATTAATTAATTATTATTGGGAAATATCGTAAATTATTCGATGACGCAAAAGTTCTTCCTTTTAATTTCCCCGTCTATCTGTCGCGTTCGCTTTAGTTCAAATTTCTGACAGGTCGAGAAGTTCGCCGGCGAGTCTCCCCAGAGTTTTCGGTACTGAGTCGGAAGAGGAGCAGTTCCTGGTTCGAGATGCACTCGACTTATTCCGACTTTGATCTGGGGGTTCTCTGCCTTCTCTTTCTCTTTCTCTCGCTATCCTCGTTTTCTACTTTTGTCTGACTGGTTCGGGAAACAACAATGCAGGCGTCGGGGCCGCCGGCTCTTGGAATGGGGTAGGAGATCTATTGATCTTGAACCATTGGAGAGCAATTTCTCTGTTCTTGGGTAGGTTTTTAGAAGTTTTCTGACTCGATGTTGCAGGGAGTACAACTTTGCTGAGGCTGGAAACCTGGAACACTGCGCCAAGTATCTAAATCAGACGTTGGTGACGTTCGGATTTCCTGCCTCGCTTGATCTTTTCTCTACCGATCCAGTGAGTATTGCAGATCTATCTTGCGATTTATTATTATTATTTTATGAAGATAATTTTGTGTTTTTTTTTTTTTTGGGTTTCAGGTTTCGGTCGCAAGAACTTGTAATTGCATATATGCTCTGCTCCAGCTGAGGCAGCGAGATGTAGAGTTTCGGGAGTCATCGAGTGAACAAAGGCAGAGGTTTGTTTTTTACTGTTCTTTTCAATTGGGCAGTTCCCTAGATCTTCGTCAACTGAGTGATTTTTCTTATTTATTCTGTGGGTTGATCGTGGGGAGGGGTTTTGTGTAGAAGCGGAGAGATCAAATAAAATAATATAGGATCATGAATTACTTGAATCGCTTGAATGCACACTACTTCGCATGATGTAGACCTTGCTCCATACAATGGGACTTTTCTGTACACAACGTAGCATGACTAAAGCTTCACCCAATCCTCAAAAGGGCAGCCAAAACTTGTATTCATTAATAAATTGCTTCCAAATATTGAATGATGGTTACTTATATTAATAGCCCAACTACTTACTAATATAATACCTCTATAACTTGGTATTTTTACTTAAAAATAAGAAAAAAATGGAAATATGAATTAAATGCATTACATAGAGGAACAAATAAACTCTTTGAACTACTGATTTGGTGCTTAGGGTCCTTTTAGTGGATATTGAAATCTAGTTAGATAACACTAGCCAATGCTTGAAATCCTAAAATCAGCCTAATGGCCTTACATCAATTCTGTTGGGTGAGCAGAACTTTTCTTCAAAGTGTGTTAGTCATTGCAGTTGTCGTGCAAGCTGGTAGACAAATACTGAAGTTCATAATGTGCAGTGAAGAAGTCATTTGATGGTGTTCCAACTTACCATTGAACTAAGCTTGCCTGTGCAGTAGAAGATCCAACCATAATTAAGCATATATCTAAGAATGAATGGAAAGGTTGGTATATAAATTGCTGGCAAAGATTTAGAAAACACATTTATGAATGGCCTGCAAGTAGTAATAGAGGCTCTAACTTTGATGTCGCAACAAGCCATCCGTAATGAAATAGGCTTCATAATGATACTAATAGGCAAAGCAAGTACATAAGCATGTAATCCTGTAATGATAAACATCATTTTTATTTGCATGGAAGGTATTAGAGTATTCAACATCTTAATATTGATGTAAGCATTGTCATACCAATGATTTTTATCCTGATATTGATGTGTCGCATTGCTTATCTTGAACAACCCGAAGTTAATAAGTCATAATCAATGATTATTACAAACGTAATTGCATGCAGCTAGGATAATAGACAAACATTAAATAACACACAAGCAAAGAAACATGGATGCTATGAGTGATGCGACTAATAGGATATTCATATTTGCAATGTAATAATGTTATTTGCTGTTTTGACCGAATTAATAGCAAGCGTAGTAAATAATAAAATTTTAACTCCACTCAGAAATTACAAAATTCTGTTGAAAATAGTTTGTTATGGCTTGTACGGTGATTGGTAATAAGGATAAAGTTAGGTTTGATTTTGGATAGGTTTAGGAGATTTTGATGGAGTTTGTTATAAGAAGTCTAGAATTGGCTTTTAGGCTTTTTAGGCGTGTATAAAGGTGGGTTTATAATTAGGATAAAGTTAGAATTAATTTTGGATATGTCAAGTTGATATTGATGGAGTTTGTTGGCTAGAATGTAACAGCGAGGGGTGGTGGAGGTGTGACTGATATGTTGGGTGGTTAAATAATGAACCATCTTCAATTGCTGCCAAAATTTATCGAAAATATGAAACAATATTGCATTGTGAGGTTATTTTTGCTACATGACTTTTGAAAATTGGAGAAAATGCACTCTAATGCCAATTGATGCTGGCAAGTTATCGAAGGGGAAATTGAATGGTACAAAAGGTTTTACATGAGATTGTATTGTGTTAGGAAGGGAAATGGGGTTGGTTGTGAAAGAATTATATCAATCAACAAATTGCGACCAAACAGCATAAAGAATGCTATTTATACTAATAGCCTCATAACTAAATATATGCAGGTGGCACTTTTAGCTGCATGAACTCAAAAAATAGAATATGAATCGGAGTTTAGTGCAATTACATTTACAATAAAAAGAAATAAACTTTTTAAACTATTGAATTGGCGTTGAAGGTACTTTTTGCCACTCTTGGAGTTGTGATGCATAGCAATTTCAAATATCTGAACCCTGCAATCAGCCTAATGGCTTTGCATCAGTTACTTCTCTTTAATTCGTATTTATTGTGGTAGTTTTATTGGATATCCTTGCTTGATTTTTTTGAAGTCTTCTTAACACTTTTTTATGCAGTTCTGCTACAGCATGCTATAAAATTAATTGCAATTACAGGTTACAGTCGGACATGTCTAAATTAGAGGCCAAGGTTGAAAGGCTTGATGCACAATTAGTTTCCAAAGACCGAGAGCTTGCTACATTAGCCAGAACGGTTTGTCTGGCATTTCCATATTTAGATAGAATATTTAGATTATAGGATAAGATAGTTGTCTTTATGGCTAATAGTTGTCAATGTTTTATAAATTGTCATAATTAGGAGGCTAAAGCTTCTGCAGCTTTCAAAGCACAGATTGAAAAGCTACAACAAGAACGAGATGAATTTCAAAAAATGGTTATTGGACACCAGGTGAAGAATCTCGTCTCATTGCTTGATGTCTTTCCCAACTGGTCAAATAATTCATCCACTTCTTTACAATTTTTAAAATTGTTTTTGCACACTGTCTGCTGAATTACTCATTTAGTCTGCTTAATTATTAAGCAAGCTCGCACGCAACAACTTCATGAAATGAAGAAGAAAGAAAAGGATTACATTAAGCTGCAGGTAGTTTTCTTTGCATTGGAGATGGTTTAGACTGTTTTTGTCCATACAATTGATTGTGTTCAAATCGTTATGGCAAAATCACTCAAGAATTATGCTAAATTCTGATGAATTGAAGAAGAAAACAATTTTCAATTTTCGATTTGTAGGAGAGGCTAAACCAAGTTTTGATGGAGAAGAAGAAAGAATCCCGTTCTGGCATGGAAATTATGAACTTACTTCAGGTACGTTGCAGCAAATTCATTTCTGTGTTTCCTCTAACCTTAAATGCTAACCATATTCCTTGTTGAGGTTCGTAATATCGCTTGAGTTTATTGGATTTTCTACCCTCCTGGATCCTTTGCAGCTTCAAGTAGCTATGATTGTACATATTCTTGTTTCCATGTTGTTCTTAACAGAAAGAAGGACGTCAGCGTGGTACATGGAATGGAAAGAAGGCTGATGGCGACTTCTACAAGATGATTGTATGTCAAACAATTTTTTTAACATATGTTTTAGGTACTGTCATTATGCCTTTGTCCATTAACAGGCTGATGCATATGAAGTGAAGAAGCAAGAACTTATGGCAGAGAATGCTGATTTGCGGGCTTCGTTACGATCAATGCAGGTATGCAATTATTGACCTGTTCCTTTAATTGTTTATAGTAAATATCATAATTTCTTTATAGCTTTAAGATCACAATTGTTAGGAGGGAGAGAAAATTACAAAATTGAATTATCATTCTTGTACTAGCATATGTGTTTATATATATAAACAAGAGACGATAATGATAAAGAAAAATACAAGGAGAATATCTTCAATAATGAAAAAATATAATGCTAAAAAAAAGTGCAGATTCCTTAAATAACTTGTTAGCATGTGTCATACGTTAGATATAATAGCACTTCCTTGCAAATTCGAGGTGACATAGAAGGTATCAATAGTTAACAACTAGGTGTAAAGTTGACATGAATTTGTAAATAACATCCACATTGAGATCACCCAAGAAGAAATTTCCTACAATAGACAGAGTGCGGTTTAGCAGGCTCAGAGATCTCATTTTTTAAGAAAAAGAGAGTAGGTTTTACTTGATATGAAGGTAGTTGCTTGCGACAGATTCTATTCTTAATGAAAATGAGGAAGGAAAATGGACGGAAGGAGAGGCATGCAATTTTAAGTCTGATAATCCACCCACAACTTTTGCAAAAAAAAATAAAAAAATTATTGAGTCTTAGGAGGTACAACATTCAATGAAATGTAAGTAATAGAAGGAGACTTCAAGATAGTTGATGGGGACATCAGTTGGAAAGTCTACCGTCGACATGGCCGTAGATCTACGGCCACGATTTACCCGATGTATTTCTGATTTTAGTATTGTCATTTTATTTTGATGTACTTTATTTCTGCATTTTCCCTTTTTACCCTTGCTTGAGGGATTGAGTCATGTAGCCCCTTGAGGGTATTTGAGTCCTTTTATTTTATGTCATTGTATTAGGCTATTTATAGCCTTCATCTTGTACTTTTGATGGTCAATGAATGATATTGAAAAGAATTTCTGCAATTTGTCTTCTTGAAGCTTTTGTGTGGAGCTTGAGATTTGAGAGTTTGGTGGAGCCTAGGAGAGGCCACTCGTCGTACCCAACAGTCACCACCGGTGGCTCTTGGTTTATCCTTCTTCCCTTGTTTCCCCTCCACCCAAAATCCACCGTCGGCCATTCCCCACCACCAATCACCACCTCCTAACCTCACCACCCTAACTACACCTCCCTAAAAACTGCCCCTCCCATTCATCCCGCCGGCCATCCCCATAACCGCCGGCCTCCCCTTCATCCACCACCCCCACTCCCATTAATTGCCGACACCCTTGCCGCCAACTCATGTATTTTCAAATTTTGAAATTTGAAAATTTTGATGAGTGAAAGTTTCCAAATTTGTCCGACGCCATATTAGGAAAGTTTCAATGAGATTTCAAATTTGAATTTGAGCGGATTTGAAATTTTCATGATTAATTAGGCGGAGCGAATTAGGAAACGCATAACTCCTCTTCCCCTCACTCCCAATCCTCCTCTACATGCCGCCGGCCCCCCTTAGTGGGCCCCTCTCCTTTAGTACTTCATTAAGGGACTTAATGTCATGCTATTTGAATTTCAAATCCCTTTAATTTCCCTCCAATTTTACTTAAATCTTAGAATAATCTCAGATTTGGAACTTAAACAATTTCTATCCACCTAACCTAGCCTCCTCCTAACCCTAGCCGACTTCTTCCCCCTTACAACCCGCCGGCCACCTTCTCCCCACCATCCACTCCCTTCCTCTCTTCCCTCCCTCTCAAGGTGTCTCTCCTTGTTAAATGGAGATGGATGATCGACTCGGAGTTTGAGTCCGGTCTTGCATACGAAGGCTAAGAGTGCATGGATCTTCTCAACTTACCTTTTTCAACTTGACTCCAAATCTTGTTGGAGTCAAAGAGAAGGCTACCTACCACTTGCTATTCACCGTGATCAAGGCTAGGGAAGAAGAACTAACGGAAGATTATAGTGATTCACGTCGTTTCTCCGAGAAGGTGGTCTTTTTTTTCTTGACTCATTATTTTCAAATTCTACTTTCTTCGTGAGAAATTGTTCAAGCAAGAGATTGTGTCTACTTATCTCCATCCATTAGTATTCGTAGGAATTGTTACTTCGTTGCTTTTGGATCTCTTTGTTAAACAAAGGTTTAGTTGGAAACTATCACGCATGCAATGCTTTATTTTCCTACGTGTTTTGAATTTCGTTTAGCACCTTGTGTAGTTTCGCCTAAACGGAAGTGACCGTTTATTAGTTTTACTTGTTGTTTTAATCTCGAATAACGAAATCTGAAATTGATCTTAAAATATTTTGTGCAAATTTCTGAATTTTGCATATAGTTCTACATCAATAGTAGAAGCCATCAATTCAAGAAGCAGAGATAATGGCTGAATTGGAGCAATCACCATGAAGCCCAAGAACATTCAAGGGATGATACTTCAAATAAATTGGAATCAAGTAGAGGGAGATACGACAAGTGCTATCTGATAATTATGTTCAAGCAACGAGGATCTGAAACGGGGGTAGAAAGCTGCTCGGAAGGGAAAAGAGTTGTTAGTGAGGGTGGTGTGCGTGGCCATTACTCTAGGAAGTTAGCTAATAGCCATGAAGTGCAATGCCGCTTAAGAGTGTGTCAGGTTACAACTAACCAAGCGTTTGGAGGCACATAGAAAGGATCCAAGTGCGGCGGGGTAAACAAAACATGATGATGCTATGGGGGTGAAGCGTGTGAGAGCCCGACAAGTATTATCGAGCTATCTAAGCGTTGGTACATTCGTTTAAGGCATGGACCTAATGAGATTATTATACTCTTGTATATTTGATTTGGTGACTTTATTTTTTTAGATAGCCAAGTTCTATACTTATTGCTTGAAGTATGTGTTCGTTATTGCAATATCATAAGCTATTGCAAAATCAAGTTGCTTCAACTAAAACTTAAGTTGTAATGTGTAATGTACCTTCATGAAACGCTGCATAAACTTGCTTTAAACCTTTTTATTCCATATATCAATGTCTTCTATATTCCTTAAGTCACCGAAACCTAATACTTTGTTTGGTATCTTCTTGATAAATTGAACACCTCTTTTCTTAAATTTATCTTTTTTGCTAGGGCAAATCTGTTTGGTGTACTTAGAGGCTAGTGGTCATGTATTTTATACTTATCTAATCTTATTTTGACTACCCTATTATCCTCCTTATTTGGATCACAATTACAGTTAACTTAATAAACTTTTATTGTTTGGATGTTGGGTTATATAGTTAAAATGATACCTGTTGGGCTGACATCTTTTTCTTTCATTTCACTGCTCGGTAACTAGATTTGTAAGACTTCCATGGCGTGTTAATTGGGCTTTCCTGTAGGGTCACATGATGATACTTATCTGAATTACTGCATTTTGGACACCGTCAAGTGTTCTAGATTGCAAATTCCTGCAGGGAAATGTTTATAAATTTCTCTATTTGTTTAAAGATTAGCTTCCTTTGGTTATGTTGCCCATTAGAGTTTCCTTCCCACCTTTATCTTATTTTGTATAGCATCATTAATTTGACTTTTCAATCAATTGGTAACGAAAAAAGTGCTGTGAAAACCTAGTTTATTTATTTAATTTAAGCTGTTTGTGGAGTTGCAATTGATTTATTACTTAGGTTGTGTTTAGTTTGTGAGCTGTTTCATTTTTTTTCTCCTTCTTGAAGATGGCATACTTTGGTGCATTAAAGCTCGTCCTTTTTAGACTTACTGTTTTTTTTTTTCTCTTTTTTTCTCCCTGGTTTGATGCAAATGTTTATTTGTATACTCAGTTTCCTCAAATGATTGATTTTTGTCATTAACCAGTTACATTCTTACCGAGTACGAGCAAAGAACATTTTTTCTTGTTAAAAGTGGGTCTCTCTTTATTCACTTGCCACATACTCATCTGGTGTTGTGATTTTTCTTGAGAATGGGTACGACTGCTTGATTTAAGGGTAAATGAAGATGTGTTCTTAATTTTTTGTGGAATATTATATTTCAATCCACTTTTAATATCAATTTTACTATGCAAATATTTATTCATCCGTTGCTGATATTACTTCTGAAATCCTTATTAAACGAGCTGGTATCATTGGTGATATGGAAAAATTATTTTACCAATTTACATGTAGATGGATATGCGGGATTTCTTAAATGCTCCAAATGGAGAATCACTACAAAATGTATCGGCCAAGGACAAGCAAGATGCAGAACGACAGTCTCCATTGGGTGGCAGGACAGTATGTGGATAGTTTTTATTTGAAAATTGCAATCTGGGTTTCCATTCCCATCGAAAACTTCAGAGTTTTCGTTATTGTTTTAGCTTAAACATGTTTGTATGCAATCCATGCCTCCGTGGCTATCATAGTATGTTTAACAGAGTAAAATAAAGATGATGCTCATAAGATAACTTTTTTCCCATTCAACAAATACAGGATGTCTTTGATCTGCCTTTCCATATAGCTAAGGATCAAATTGAAGAGAGCTTGCGAACTAAAATGGCCTCAATAAAGGTTTATTTTGCTTTTTGCTGGACATTTGCACATGATGAATTGCTCATTTCTTATGTTTCCGCTCACATGTGATGTTCTTTGTTCTTTTTCTGAACTTACATTATTAAACTTGATTCAAAAGGCTAGGATGGTTCAACTTCAAGATGCTCAGAAGGGAGCTGAAGTCTCTTCAGAAGCCACAGAACGGGAGCTTGAGCTTGAAGCTCAACTTGTTGAAGCTAGAAGTATCATTCAAGAGCAGGTGATTGTTACCCTCTTGCAACAATGTCGATTGCTACTGAAATGGAGCCAAAATATAACTTTTATCTTACCAAATCTTTTCTTGCTGCATACATGAATTGTTTTCAAGATATATTAGTTTGGAGTCTATGCCATGTTTCGGGATAGCAAAATTTTGGTGAGAATGATAAAAAAAATTTGCATATACAGATTTGTCAAGTTTGACAAGAATGACAATCATTGATCATGATTGCATATAAATAAGTGATTTTTTATTTGAACTTGGAGATTTATGATCTTATTGAGATGACTACAACTATCTTTAAAATTACTTGTGAAACAACTATATAGTACCATAGCTTCTTAAAATTGCGTTGGGGTATTATAATTTTTTTTCCGTACAAAAAGGGGCAACTTTTTTACATCCACCATGCTTTAACAAAGCTGGTTGTAAAAACTTCATCACACCACAAAATTTTTTGCCAAAGAATAAAAAAAGTTGAAGCCAAACAAGCGACAAAGTTTATGAAGTAAAAGGGTGAAAAAAGTTGCCCTAAGCACACCCTCAATCTATTTGCTTACCACCATTCACTAAGAAACGAACTATAATTGTTGCAACACTCACCTTAGTTTACTGTAGGTCATTTGCAATACAATCTTTTGACCATTGTCGCTTGGCTACACTGATATTATGCATCTACCATCGCTAGTAATATCTCATGTCGTGTATATGATCCATGCATGTCATCGACATCAAGTCATCAACTTTGCTCCTGACATTAGTATGAGAATTTATGTTAGACTTTTTGGCCTTTGGCATATATTGTATGTTTTCTTTATTGAATTGATGCTTCCTTAGAGTAAAGGCATCCATTGTAATTGATAACAAACTCTAATGTAATCATTTTAATTGGGTCAGACCCTATGGTTATTTCTTTTCTTGTAAAACTCTTGTGTCTCTTTCAATGCTTGCAATCCACTTTTATTTATGTGTTTGTTGGATCTTCGTATAAATACGAAGACAATAAACTCTCTAACCATCTACTGCAACGAATATTTTGGCATGCAACAATCTTACTATCACTAGACCAGACGTTAATTTTGTTGTGAAAGTTATGAGTCAACAAATGCAAACTCTCAAATAAAAATGATGGGGACAACAAATCGTGGAAAGTCTATCAGAGACGTGGCCGTCGATCTACGACCACGATTGAGTCATTGTATTTCTGAGTTGTTTTATGTATTTTCTTATTTATGATGTCATATTGTATTTTTGAGTTGTTTTATATATTTTTTTATTTATGATGTCATATTGTATTTGCTTTATTAGTTTCATGTTGTACCCTTTTATTAAGGGATGTCGTATGTAAGCCCTTGGGGCATTGTCGTCCTTTTATTTTGTGAGTTTCTGTAAGAGACTATTTATAGTCCTAGTGTTCTTCTTTTCAAGTTAATGAATGAATGATTGATTAAAATAATTCTTCTCTTTGCATGAATTCTTGTGAGAGCTTGAGAAATCGGAGAGAGATCCCTAGGAGAGGGAGGATTGCACATCACCCTCCAACCTAGACGAGTCGGGTTCGTGGTTCTATTTCATATCTCTTCTGTTCTTCCTCCCACCACCACCACCGGCCATCATCACCCCAACTAACCACGCTCACACCCAAGACATCATTCCCTCCACAAGCTCTTTCCCCTTACTTGACCGAGCTCCACATACACTCCCCCTAGCCGCCGCCCCCATACCTGAACCCAATCAACCCGCTGGCCCTAGATCCCCTCTCCCCTTTGATTTCCATTGCCTATTTTGGATTGAAATAATTTGGGCAGATTTTGAATTCAAATTCATTCAATTTGAAATTTAAAATCTTTCATAAATTACTAAATCTATTTTAGGAAAGTTTCCTAAATTGAGCCCAATTTGAATTTCAAATTAATTGGAATACTTTTAACACTTTCCTAATCACCACACACCAAAATAGCAATCTCAAATCTCCCCCATTAATCCTCCCTAGCCCTTGATGCCGCTGGCCCCCCTCATTAAACCCCTTGGGATTTATTTCCTAATCCCTCCACCCTCTCTTGGAAATAATTCCAAATCCCCACTACCTCTCTTGGCCGAAATCTCCATGATCCCATACACTTAATTTCTTTCCAAAAGGGAGCTTTTCCTTATGGAATTAAATTAAACCCCTCCCAATCCCCCCTTGCCGCCGCCCCCCCTCTTGCTTTTCTCTCTTCCTTTAATTATTCTCACTCAAGAGAATATTTAGGAAGTTTGAATTAAAATTTCCCCTCATCTCTCCCTCCAAAATCTGAAGCAAATCCCTCACACTAGCCCTCACCCTTGGCCGGCCACCTATTCTCCTTTTCCCTCTTGAGTTCTCTAACTTATCTCATCCATCTCAAGAGGAGTCTCCAAGAAAAGTCTCAACGATAGTCGTCAACATCTTAATATCAAAGACATGCATGGCCGATCAGGAGCTTGATTACGACCTCTCCTATGACGAGCAAGGATTTGTTTGCATCCTGCATTCAATATTCTTTGACATCAACCCGCGCATCGACCACACCGTAGAAGAGTACATAGAGCGCATCTTGGACACTTTGGTCGAGGCTATTGAAGAGCAACTTGGATTGCAAACTTGATACAACTACATTTGGAGGAGTTACATCCGATCCTTTGACGAAGGTATTGTTCCATTCTTCCCTCTTCTTGTAATTCTTTTAGTCTAGATATCTTTCTGTGATTTGATTTTGATCATAAGATCGTATTCGCGCTATCTTCTAGATCTGATCTTTAGTGAAACGTAGGGTTGAGTGCACTTCATTGTTTCTAATCTGCATTGTTTAGATTAGGAATTTTTAGTTGGAATGAGCTGTTATTTTGCAGTGTTGTGTGATTTCTTATTGTTATTTGTGATAGGATTCAAGGTAGCTCTTATTGTGCAACCTTAGCCTAAACGGAAAGTGACCGCTCTACGTTTTATTGCTAATAGCTTTAATCATTATTATTCTAGATCAACAAGTCGTGCACGTTCTATCAAAAGTTACTTTTTTGCATTGTAAGTCCTACAATCAAAATATAATGGGGATTTTTTGTTTTTTTTTTTTTTTTTTTATTTTACAAATCCTCTTGCTGTTTTAAATATACTGTCACTAAGGAAATAACCACCATAGACACTAATAAATGATAACACTCTTCAATGTGAAAGCTTTTAGATGATACTGTTTATTCTAGAATCAATTAATGATAACAAATTACATATTCCCATATTATTTATAAAATTTTTTTGATGGTAACTTAGTCATGTAGGGTTGTATAACAAATAGCAAGCTGGCAAGATGAACTTTTCGCAGATTAGAAAGCCATGCACTCTTATGCGTGAAATGTTGCAGAGTTAAAGACTTAGGGGATTTTTAGTTTTTCAATTTGCCATACCTCCTGATTTTAATCTTGAAAACTTGTTGCTATCCTACATTTCTAGTAATCATAATTTCAGAAAGAATCGAAATAAATTATAGTTTATGGTACTTAATTTGGGATGTGGTGCTATTCAAGAGAGAGATCTTTTACTTGTCATTATTTATGAACACCATTATATATTTACAAGTTTTTTGGTCCCTGCAGTTTTTCAATTTTATTGCTGCAAATAGGTAAGTTTTTAGCATTTAGTTATAGTTTTTAGTGGAAGCTTTCTTTATGGCCTGGTCAACTATGTTTAAATTTTATTTCCTTTCAGGACATTGGATTCAATTTCCCTATTATACATAACGGGTCTGATGGGACCATCAGTTGGAGTAAGATCTATCCGTCGACGGGCCGTAGATTCTACGCCACCACGATTTACCGCGATTGTATTCTGATTAAATATTGTTTTTTAATTTGATGTATCCTTTATTTCTGGCATTTTTTCCATTTTTATTACTTCGCTTGCTTGATGGGATGATGTTGTAGCCCTTGAGGGCATTTGAGTCCTTTATTTTATGCATTGTATTAGGCTATATATATGCCTTCATTTTGTTACTTTCGAATGGTTAATGAATGAATGAAAATGAAATTTTCCTGCAGGGCTGTTGTCTTCTGCAGCTATTGTGAGGCTTTGAGAGTCCGATGGTTTTGGTGGAGCCTAGGATGAGGCCCACCCCGTCGTACCCAACAGTTACTGCCGTGGCTCTTGGTTTTAGCCTTGTCTTCTTTTCTTCGTCTTCAAACAACTCACGAGCCAATTCTCCCATTCCATCCACACTCATCTCGCCAAACCACCCGCCCAAGTTTTAGCTCACAGTTCCCATCCCCACGCTCCTCATCCAATCTTCCCGCGCCACACCTGCCCTCTTAGCCGGCGACCCCTCCTCCTTCCACCACCACCCCACTCACACCACTCATCATTCCCATGATTTACCTCCCCACTGAAGTTTCAATTTGAAAAAAAAAAGTGGAAGTTTCAAATTTGTTCGAACGTCTAAAGTTAGGAAAGTTTTCAATGAAATTTCAAATTTGAATTTGACTGAATTTGAATGGATTTGAAATTTTCCATGATTAATTTAACGGAGTAATATTAGGCAAACGCATAATCCTCCTCCCCACTCCCAATCCCTTATGCCGCCCGCGCCCACTTTATTGGGCCCCAACTTCTTTAGTGCTTCATTAAGGGGATTAATGTCATGGCAATTCTGAATTGTCAAATCTCTTTATTTCCTCCAATTTTACTTAAATCTGAGAATATCTCAGATTTGGAACTTAAGACTAATTTCTTGTCCACTCCAAACCCCTAATGTCTTCTCCCAAACCCTAACCCTTTTCCTTTCTCCTACAAGCCATGGCCGGCCACTCGGTCTTTCCTTTCCATCTCCTCTCATCTCTGCAATCATTGTTTATATTTCTCTTCTGTCCCATTTTGCTCATGATGAAGTGGCACAACCCGGAGCTGATTTCGGCCTTGCATATCAAGGACGCTTTCTTTTTGTGAAGAATTCAGCTAGCCTTTGGGTGGAGCAATTTATTGGAAGGTACGATGG